TTTTTGAGGCATGATTTATAGGGGATTAAAAGAAGAGGAATGATTTGTAAATAATTGAAAAAATTTATATTGTTTTGAGAGATTGATTTGTGAGAACTTAAGGACAAAAAGACATGGATTCGATAAAGAAAAAAAAAATATTTCCTTAAAAAAGGAGATTTGTTAAGAATTTCATAAGACAATAACTTTTATACATTAAATTTTTTTGTCTTATTCTACTAAATAATGATTGAATATAATAAAAATATTATTTTTTTTATTCTTTTTATTAAATTAATTATCACTTATTTTCTTTCATTCTCTTCTATCTCCCCTCTCTCCCCTCTCTCTCTCTCCCCATATAAAGCATGAGAGGATGTTTGATCGACTAAGTGTTGAATTTTTCTAGTTTAATGTTGGGAGATTGCTAATCATTTGACCAATAACTATACCTCAATACGACTAGTTAATAATGATACCTCAATACGCTTAACTGAGAATTAGATTAGATCAAGGACCATTAGACCTATCCCTTCTTATAGGTCAACTTAGTTCATAGGCCTTTTATCCTTGAACCCAATACTATATGACTAAACCATCATTTCCACAACCACCCAACAAGATAGTAACAACTGGAGGAAACACTTAAATAAGCATGCCATACTAAGTCACATTATAAAACTCATGGGAGATTCTTGACTTCACACCGAATTTTAGATGATGTCAACAAGTGTGTTCTCTAGTGTGATTATCATCACCTCTTATCTTCTATATATACAAATATGAAGTTCTCTCTTTTAACTATATTGTTTTCTCCTTTAGTTTAATCATTTTATTAAATTATGTTCACTTTGTTGTTAGAGTGTTTGTAGGTGAGCTCCATAGTCACTCACCTACCACCATCACTAAAGATCACCCATAGTGATTTTAACACATTTTTCTATCCACCTAACATTTAACAATCCATCAAACTTGTTTTAGTTCCAAACAACTAAATGTTTTGATTTGATAAAATGAAAAAAAAAGACTATAATAATCAAAAATATTTTTGTTGATTTAAGTAGTAGAAAATTGATTTTCCTTGTAGTTGTTAGTCATATCTTAACTTGAATAAATAATGATCTTTATTTATAAAATAATAACAAATGCTAATGGTTTATAAGTTACCAAATAATATATATGTCGGTGGTTTGTTTACAAATTAATCAAAATCTCCGTTACAATTTGTAATAACATTGATTTCTTCGCTATTATTTACAAATACTTAATTTGTGAAAATTTATTAACCAAATTTAAATAAAGGATAAAATATGTTTTTGATTCTTTAAAATATCTTGAAATTTAATGTTAATCTCTATGCTGATATTATGATTTAGTCTCCTTAAAAAGTAAAATATGTGCTTGTATTAAAAAATAGAAACTAAAAACATACTAAACTTTTATCTGGACTAAAATTGAAATTAAAAATTTTATATGATGAAAATTATATTTTAACCTTAACAAAAATGCTTTGAATATTTTACTTCAAACATCCATTTTTCTTCGACCTAGATGATAATTTCTATAGATAAAAATAATCTATTTTAATTTATTATCTTTTGTAGAGTTTGTATGTAATATTTTTATTTGACATCATCCTCTAATCAAATACACATGACTTAATTTTTTTTATATTTGAACTTCCGGTCAGTTGTGAATATGGTCAAACATGATTTGAAATGCTATGATTAAACTCCTTTATAAACATTTATATGGTTTCTCACTTATCTCATAAGTTAATCATGCGATTTTATTTTTATTAGTGAAATAGTAACAATGATAATAACGATATTAATAATTATCAAGTATAAGAAATAAACAATGAGAAACTTCGGGCCATACATGTTGATACATTTGAACCTTTCGCCAAACAATGAGAAACTTAATTAAGTTTAATAATTAAAAAACAAACATAATTATTGGGGACTCCCCATGTGGGAAAAATAATGTTGACTCACTATAAGATTACGAGAATTCTATTTCTAATATATCTTTTAAATGGTGAATAACCTAAATGATTTTCATTTTTTTAGGTGTTTATTGATTAGATTTTTAAAAAAATTCAAATCAAATTGACCAATCCATTTTATAAAAGTGAATTAGTTAACCGATTTATTTTTTCATAAAATAAATTGATTCAATTTTTAAAAAAATATTGATTGATTCTTTTATAATTGAATAGGTTGTGCTAGTGATAGACCTACATTATAACGAGGGTTGTTAGATGCACCCCCTCAATTTAATTAAATTATTACTGTACATTTTAAAAATATTGTATTTTGGACCCCTAATTTTATATATTGATACCATTGATGAATTTTTTTTTGACATTTATGTTTTATTCTATATATATATGATGGTGATTAAGTGCACCCATTGACCTAGGGTCTTGGATCCGCTATTGGGTTATGCGGTTATTCATTTTATATTCATATATGAATCCATTTTTTTTTAATTGAGTTGAACCGAACTGATTTATTTTGTAAAAATAGATCGGATAATCGAATTAGTTTTGCCAAATAGATTAGTTTGAATTTTTTCTCAAAATGGAACAATTTTTTTATAATACAAATCAAATCAATTTAGATTTTTGTACACCCCTAATCAAATGAATATTTGTATAATAAAATGCATGAATGCCCCTATCTAAAAGTGAACAACATATGTACCACAATTTGAAAACAAGTGAACACAACAATACAAAAATACACAATTTTTTTAAAGTATTAAACATTTTTCATTAAAAATACTTTTCTGATAGACTTAGCTTTAAGGATGGTTGATTTCTCCTCAAGGCTTTCTTACTCCTTTAATTTTTTATCCATGGGGTATTTGAAGAAGAATAAACTTGAAAATGATGGAGGAGATGAAGGAATGATGATGTTACTTGTAGAGAAAAGATAAGTCAAGAAGGTTTTTCACTATAAGAAAAAAAAAGTTATTGATAAGAGATTCAAATGGAATTGCGTTCAAGGAGAGAAATTCTAAGGGCTCTTAAATATTACGGGAAATCAATCTCAATCTCATATATTCATCAAAAGTGATGTCTAATGTATATAGAACTCCTATATATAAAGTTTGATAGTTGATGGTGCATGTTAAGCTAATAAAGGTTAAGTTAATTTGTATTTAAGTCAGTTAATTATAGTTTAAATTTGAATGTCCCTCCAAAAGTGATGTTGACATCCTAGATTTAGAAGAACAAATGAGAGCTTGTCATATGACGTGATACAAAAGGTGTGATGGAGAGATGTGTTAGTAAAAAAGGGGTTGTAGAAACAAACATGCAAAATGTATGATTAGTATGTGAAACATGTGACTTGGTGGGTAATGTATAAGCCAATGAGAGAGATTAAAAGGCAAGGAGTGGACATCCCACTCTCAGAGAAAAGTTCTCTAGTTCTTCATGATTCAAACAAGTCCAATAAACACATTTCAAATACTAGTTGCATCCCCTAAAAATAATAAATACACTCCTAAAAACTTACAAGAAAATAAAATTCCTAATCTAAATGACCCAAAAAATACGAGGTAAAAAAATAAAATGAAATATATTTTCAAAGAAACATGTACAAAAAAGAGATAATGGACAACTAAAAGTAACTCAAGACGCAACATGAGCTCGAACCTTTTTCCATCAAACCTAACCTCTTGACTTTTTTGAGACTTTACCCATGAATCTGATTGCACCATTTTGTTCCGATCTAAAAAAAATGTATTAAAGATAACCTAATAGTTGTCAAAAATTATAGCATTCAAAAAACATACATTATTTTCCTTTAATTATATTTTAGGAACAAATTCCTTATTTCTTAATATGATATTGTGAACTAAGAAACATTATGTATTACTGTTAATAATCCTACAAATCATATCATTATGACTTTTATCCTACAAATCATAACATTATGACTATTATCTAATTTACTAAAGAGAAATAGTTAGCCGGTGTTTGAGTCCTATTATAATAATAATATAAAAGATTGTTTGATTTGAGAAAATATTTTCAATTTTTATTTTCAAATTTTAAGATTTAGAAATTTTGTTTGGATTGAAATATTGTTTTTTTATGTTGATGAAATAGAAATGTTGAAAATGTGTTTGGTTTAATTATTTTTTAATTAAAATTTACTAAATGTATTTTTTTTATAAAATGTAAAAAGTAAATTTTGAATGAAAAAATATATATTTTGGTCATGATGAAATATTATCCAGAAATTCGAATCGTGAATAGAAATTTGTGACTAACTAACTATGCTTGTTGAAAGAATTTTAGGTTACAATCAATGTAATGCTGACAATTTATATTTGTTAAATTTTGAACCATTTGTTCCATATGACTAATAGGGAGACAAGACCTTGACAAGTAGTAAGTTTAGGATTTAGAGGGCTAAGGAGTGCAACGATGGTAACAATATAAATAGTAGGTGAGAAGAAGTAGTAGTTAGTAGTAATTGAGTAATTTGAGAAAGAGATGGATTGTATCTTAATGAGGTAATAATGCTTGAAAAATTGAGAACAGTAAAGGAAGGAGATGGACGACAAAAAGAATTAGAAAGAGATGAGATTCGAAGAGTAAAAGTGATTATATTTACATCGAGTGCTATCGTGTTTTCAATTTATAATTTTTTTAAAAATATTTTCAAAGAAAATATTCTATATTTAAAATCAAATTAGTGAAAAAATATTGATTTAAAATCTATTTAGATACAAGATTAAAAATATTTTTAAAATTTTCTATTTTAAAAATAAAAAGTATTTTCTCAAAAGCACTTAAAGTATGTAACGTGTCCTTAAAAATTGTCAAATTTAATTTTTTTTATCATTAGTCGATTCTCGTAGTTAAACAATAACAATCCTATGTGAATAGGAGATCACATGACACAAATAATTAAAAATTTCGAATTTAAAAATTAAAACAATTAATAAGTTAAATAAAAGGATAGAAAAGAGCGAGGAGTGTAGTGAGCATATAAAAGGATAGACATAGCCGATCACATTCGGAAAAGAAAGCGAAATCGAAACCCTAACCCTAACGGAGCGATGGCGGAGCACTTGGCATCGATATTCGGGACGGAGAAGGACAGGGTGAACTGCCCGTTCTACTTCAAGATCGGAGCTTGCAGGCACGGCGACCGGTGTTCTCGGCTCCACACCAAGCCCACAATTAGCCCAACGCTGGTTCTGTCCAACATGTACCAGAGGCCCGACATGAACATGAACATCATCACCAACCCTAATCAGCCTCAGCCCCAATCCCTCGACCCCGACAAGGTCCAAGATCACTTCGATGACTTCTACGAAGATCTCTTCGAGGAGCTCAGCAAGTACGGCCCCATTCAGAGCTTGAACATTTGCGACAATCTCGCCGATCACATGGTCTCGACCCTTACGCGATTTCTGTTTATTTCTCTTTTTTAAAATTTCCAACTTGGATCGTTTATTTCTTTCTGTTGTTGGTTTTGCGCAGGTTGGGAACGTGTATGTTCAGTTTCGGGAGGAAGATCATGCTGCCAACGCCCTCATGAATCTCACTGGAAGATTTTATTCAGGTTCTTCATTTTCCCCTCGTTTAGGGTTTTTAATTTCTCCGCTTTGTCCTGAGTCTTGTGAATGTATGCGTGCTCCTTTTTACGTGGTTATGATGTTGTTGCTGTTTGGGTCGTGTTAGTTGTGACATTTGTAGTGTTGTTGCGGCAGGGTTGATAATGTCGATATAAAAGGCAATTTTTGATATTTTATTTTATTTTATGTAAGCAATATTAGTTTTAATATTTCTGCCGCTTGTACCAGTGGTGTTAAGTTTGAGTATTGGGTATGCTGTCAAGGGTCTTGTTGCTCGTCCTACTTGAGCAGGGTGGAGGGAATCTGTAATCTCTTGCCACAAAATTCATATCATTCTTTGGGTGGATTTTGACCTGTTGGGAAAATTTCTTGAAAAGTACTTCTAATTTAGAAAAAAAAAAAAAGAAGAAAACTTGAAATTATCTTCTCCATAAGGTAAAATTAGTATATGCATAAGTTAAAACTAGTTTATGCATAAGCTAATAATTAAGATTTTTGGAGAAGATAATAAAAGCGAGCTTCTACATATTACTTTGTGCATTAGCTAGTATTAACTTATGAAGAAACTTATTTATTTTTTTCTTCTAGAAGTGCTTCTGGAAAAGTTTACCCTGACAGGATCTAGATTGGAGATACCTGACTAGTTTAGCATTAGTCTTTTATATTTACGTTCCTGTAGCCACTTTTCTTTGCCCTTCTTTTAGTTGTGGCAGTGTTGAGCTTTATCTGATGAAATGCATTTTGAACAGGTATCTTGTGCCCTGTCATGTGGTGGCTCTTTTTTTAATTCAGTCTATCTTTCCAATCTCTAATCCTGTCTTTACTGGTTTTGCATGTAGTTAGGATAAAAGATTAGGGGTCCTATGTTCCTCTTTGCCCTTCTTTTAGTTGTGGCAGAGTGTTGAGCTTTATCTGATGAAGTGCATTTTGAACAGGTATCTTGTGCCCTGTCATGTGGTGGCTCTTTTTTTAATTCAGTCTATCTTTCCAATCTCTAATCCTGTCTTTACTCGTTTTGCATGTAGTTAGGATAAAAGATTAGGGGTCCTATGTTCCTTGATATTTAGGTTCCCATGGCTATACACACTCAAGCAAGGACATTCTCCATTGATGGAAAAAATGGGTTCAGTGACAACTTTTACACATTACCTTTTTCCAGTCTGCATATGAAATTCATATTCTCTGCAGCATCAACCATAAGATAATATTCAATTGGGTTGTGATTGTCATGAGACAAGATTATTGTATTGTATAATTTGTACCTTGCAATTCCAAAAAGTTATTGCAAACAACAGGTCATAATCATATGTAAGAAAATTAATGCTTCTAACGTTTTTATGAAATTCCCAACACGAAGTAACATTTGCTTAATTGCTTCTAACATGTTGTAACTTAATGATTTATCTAGGTCGGCCCATCATTGTTGATTTCTCTCCTGTTACCGATTTTCGAGAAGCTACTTGTAGGCAGTATGAGGAAAATGTATGCAATCGAGGTGGCTATTGCAACTTTATGCACTTAAAGAAGATTAGCAGGTTGATTTCTCAACCTAGTTCTCTTGCTTTTTAAGATCTTGCACTTGCATTTATTATTTGACTGTTCTTGGCTTTAAACTCTGCTCTTCTAATTTCAGGGATTTGAGAAGGAAATTATTTGGAAGAAATAGGCGATGGAATGGTCGCAGCGGAAGCAGAAGCCGGAGCCCTCCAAGGAATCGTAACCATGGGGAGCATTCACATGCTGGTCGTAGTTCTGGTAGAAGAGATTTTGACCGGCCCCATAGCCACCATGGTAGGAGGCCTAGAAGCCGTAGTCCTCGATATAGAGGAAAAAGAAGTAGAAGTCCTGTGGGCAGGGATAGGAGTCCCGTGAGAGAAAGTAGTGCAGAAAGGAGAGCTAAGATAGAGCAATGGAACAGGGAGAAGGAACAGGAGGATTCTGGTACCAAGAGCAATTTGAAAAGCAATGATTATCAAGAACAGAGTGTTGCACAAAATGGCAGTGAATCTGGGAACCATCAGATATAGCAACATCACAGTGATTTGGCCCAAAATCTGGTAGTAAATGTGGCAAGTAATCTGGTTTTGTGTTTGCGCTTATTTAGATGGTTTTAGTTGCCGTTATTATTCTATTCCGAATTGTCAATTTAGTGATAGAACTTTGTAATATCCATAGCGACAATAGTTTAATTTTCTGCTTCAATTGTAATGTTCTGCATCTTGAAGGGAGTGAGGAAAATGGAAGTAGTGGGGAGTTTCATTTGTTGCGGGGGAGTTTAGCGATACATTTGATAAAGTTCAGCTATGAATGTTTCATATTCTGTTATTGAGCATTGTTGGATGTTACTGTGGTGGAGGATATTTAGATGGAAAACACAGGAAATGATGTATGAATTTCGACTATGTGAATAGCTAAAGGTTTTTAATAAATGCATTATAAATTTGTTTTACTCAAAAAAATTGTCTCTACCAATGCCTGTTCCGATGTGCGACCTGGCCCGTGGATTTATTGTGACGAGCAACTTATAAACTGGTGTGTTAATAAATAAATACTCGATAACATTTCGACTCATTATGTCATTGTGGAATGTTTACAACACTTCTATGCACATTCTCATATTGATTGAAGTTTATTTGATAACATTTTTTTTTATACTTATTATGATCTACTTAGTTAATTATTTTTATCCATCATTTATAGTTTTTATAAATTGTAAGTTTGTAACCGATAGAGGTGTCAGAGCTTGTATGTATATAAGTTAAAGAAATATTTATAGTTTCTTTATTAAAAAAAAATACACAGTCGTCTTGCATGCATCCTAATTTGAATTGAATAAAATGGAGCGTGGAAAAAGATTGAAATAAATTTCACTATTGTAATGGAGACGAAAAATATGTAAAGGGGCTGTCAGAAATGATGGGAGAAAAAAGAGAAAAATTTAGATTAAAAATATCCTCTCCATTTTTGATTGCTTTCCAAACGAAAGTTCAGCTACTGTAATGGATACTTCATTTTAGATTGAAATAAATTTCACTATTGTAATGGATACTTCATTTTTTTTGTCTTTCATTTATCATTTTGCTGCCCAGTGATCCCACTCCCAAATAGTATTATCTCTGGTGGAGGATGCTTGTAAGCTTGTACTACAAATAAATAAAGTGAAATGACCTAAAATGACGTGCAAATTAATTGTCATGCGTATTTACCAATGTAGAGTTTACAAACTTGTTTAGATGCACATGTGCGATAAGTATTTGTAAAAGTGATTAAAAAGCTTGACAAAAATTATCTTATGAATGATTCATATGCAGTGTATTTAGACAGAGAACTTAAGAGTTATTTTAAAATGTCTAACATAAATGTTATATATTTATTTTAAAATAAATATGAGACTAAAATTAGTAATTTAAATTTAAAAGAATGAAATGAAAAAATATATTTTACCAAGAAAAAAATCAAAATTTATTATTTAAAAAGGAAAAAAAATAATGATTTTCAATTTTAGAATGATAAAAATAAACATTTTTTTATAAGAATCAAAATCAAAATTTATTTATTTTATAAGATCTAAAATATATTTTAGCTTTTTTTTTAAAAACTGTATCACATAATTTCTTTTTAAATTTTTTTATACTTAAAAAAACTAAAATTAGGTAAATAAGGATTAGTAATTTTTTTATAATATTTTTTTATCAAGAAAATCAATTCATTTCATGATCAATAGAATCATAGATGCAATAAAATATGTAATTAAAAGTATGGAGACCAGCATAAAATTTTAATGATCTAGTTAAAAGATGAAATACACAATTAACAGAATCCTTAACAAAATTTATATCTAAATTTGGATAACGCAATGATCTATCTTTATAACTTATAAAAATAGATCTTAAGTCGGTATGAGGTATGTGTAACCTGGTTACACTCTAACTCAAGGATAAAATTTTGCAAGGCAACTTCCGCAACCACAAGATAGCTTCACTGCAGGCCAAGGACCCTCCCAAAGAATAAACAAGTGCATCACATCACAATTATGTTTGACACTTGAAAGACAGCAGTACCCTCCCTTAGCAATTTTTCCAAATCCTCCACCACAGCGCCCAGCCCCAGAACGAATTTTTTTCTGAAATAATATTTTTTTTTAAAAAAATTACAAAAATGATCACTGTGCAGGATTATTTACCAAGATAGAACCATTTACTGTTCAAGCTCAGAATTCGGTTCCCCGGGAACCGAATTCTGAGCATCAAAATGTAATTTTTTTTGTTTTTTCAACTCAGAATTCGGTTCCCGGGGAACCGAATTCTGAGTTGGTTTTAAATTTTTTTTTTTTTTCGTGTATGGGGCAAATGTGGGCTGATCTGGGAAGCGGAACGGCCCGTTCCAAAAGCAGAACGGGCCGTTCTGCTTAAAGAAACAGAGTGCAAATTCTTTAAGCAGAACGGGCCGTTCTGCTTTTGGAACGGGCCGTTTCACATTCAGAATTTGCACTCTGTTTTTTTAAGCAGAACGGCCCGTTCTGCTTTTGGAACGGGCCGTTCCGCTTCCCAGATCAGCCCACATTTGCCCCATACACGAAAAAAAAAAAAATTTAAAACCAACTCAGAATTCGGTTCCCCGGGAACCGAATTCTGAGCATGAACAGTAAACAGTTCTACATTGGTAAATAAACCTGCACAGTTGATATTTTTGTAATTTTTTTTAAAAAAAATATTATTTAAGTAAAAATTTCGCCCCAGAACATCTTAGCTAAACATCTGAGAAGGAGAAGCTGAAAAGGTTTAACTTAAGGCTGAAGGGGTCACATTGACATAGGCTCTCTCAGACTGAAAAATATTCTTGAAATAGCTGGAAGCTTCCTTCTTAAGAATCTCCTCGTCTGAGCACCAACTCTCATCTATTAAAAGATTCGCTATCTTCTAATCACTGCTTGGGTGTCAAAGAATTTGCTATTTCTGTTTATAAATTTGACCCACTTTTTCCCGGGATTTTTGGAACCAAAGCAGTTCCTCCTGGGCTAGAACCTCATTCTATTGAGCTTACACTTCCTTTTTCTAATCGAGTCCTCTTTAAGTTGGTTAAATATAAATACTTAAATAAATTTGACTAAATTGGAAGTTTGACCTCTACTGTTTTGGTACCGATATATTTTAAAATAAGGATATTTAATTCTTCTAATTTTAAAAATATAAAATTTGATATTCTCTTCATATTAATATCTATTAATTATTAAATTTTTAATATTTATTCATACTTAAATAATGTAATATTTAATAATATATTATTTAAAGATAAAAAATTAAAAAAATATGTAAATAAAAATTATTAATAAAATAAATATTAATCACTATTTTTTTATTTTGAAAAAGATAAATATGTTAATGCATCACTATGTGAGCAAGAGATTTTAACTAGGTTAGTACCTCAGCTTACACCATTCATCTGTAGCATATCAGAGTATATTAAAATATAAAAGAAAATAAAAGTACAATTGGGGGATCGAACCAAAACTCGTTAAGAAAAATAAAGGAAAGAAATAAAGAAAGAATAAAAAATAAAATCAAACAAGGTCAGTGGCCAAAGCCAAAGCACAGTAGCAAAACCTGCCTAAATCTAACCAATGTCTTCTCTAGTGCCAAATCAAAAAATACTACACATAGAAATCATCTTCATGAGTACTTATTTGATTTAGAAACTCTTAATCTTGCTCGGGTTCTAGGCCTATCCGATGCTGACTTTTTAGGCTTAGAAGGTTGTGCCTTAAGCGGATCAATGCAGCCCTTTTCCCAGTCATATCCAGCAGCCTCAAGGAGAGCCATATCATGCTGACCCGCCGGAGGAAAATCAGCGCAAGCTTTGCCGTAAGAGTCAGCTGCCTTATTGAGAAGGTTATCCAACTCTACATCGCGAATATACGGGACACTTGGCTTAGTCTTAGGGATATGTGGGAAAAGATCCACCTGCTCTGGTTCGGACTCAGATGCAGCATCCATAATGGCTGCAAAATCCCACTTCTTGTGGCAAGAGCTAGTGGTTGGAATATGAATTTGTGCGGTCACATTTACTGCACCAGCCACATCAACATGTGCAGCACTTGAGATCAGTGATTTAAAAATCGAACCGAACCGGCCTGTCGGATCGGTTAGACCGGGAACCAGTGGTCCATCCGGTCCGAATCTTAAATTGGATCGGTTATGCAGTCGATCCGTTTCAAACCAGATTGAATCGGTCAATTTTTCGGTTCAACCGGTGAACTGGTGGGTCAAACCGGTTCAACCACTTTTTTCTTTTTTCTTTTTTAAATTTTTTAAGAGACCATAAACCACAAAAATAATAATGAAAATTGAATCTTTTAATAGAAAAACAAGAAGTCTTATTAAATATAACAATGACTACTTATTCTAATATAGTTTTTTGTAATATATACAACTTAAATAACTTTTATCGTATATTATTAATTTTAAATTATATATTTAATAATATAATATCTATGTAAATATTTTGTGATATTAATTGCTAGTATATTATATATGTACATATTATTTATATTTTTAATTTGTATTAATATACCGTTTAACATGTAATTTTTTATGTATTTTTTTACAAAATAAAAATAAAAATAATTTTAAATAAGATAGAAAAAGAAATTTAAAATAAGATATAAATTTATTAAAATTTATAAGTATAAAATATATTTAATATGAATATTTTTTAATAAAAATAAATAAAAATCGAGTTATGCGGTTTAATTAATGACCCACCGGTTCAACCTTTGACTCACTGACCCAATACCTTAACCGGTTCGATCATCGGTCCGGTTTTTAAAACTATGCTCGAGATGTTATCCGGGCTGAGTTGGTGTTGTTCATTGGAGAGATCTTCAAGAGGGGGCATGCCTTCAAGGGAATCCTCATGATGACTATCATTGGCTGTTGCATTTGCGTCACCAAATAAGTCACCTAAACCAGCTTCAAAATCAGCAACTTTTGAATGAATTGCTACGTCCAAATGACCAGCTGAATCAGCAGCTGCAGCCTCATGTGCTTCAAACGGTGGAGCAGTCCTAAGGTCAGCTGCACCAGCTGCACAAGCCAAAATCGAATCAGCTGCTGAATTATCATGCACCGAAACACCAACATGGACAGCACCAGCTTCAATATCACGTGCAAGGACAGCTGCACCATCTGCACAACCCAGCACCGAATCAGCAGCTGAATTATCATGCACCGAATCACCATCATGGGCAGCACCAGCTGCAAAATCACGTGCAAGGACAGCTGCACCAGCAGCTGCAAAATCACGTTCTGGTTTTGATTTCATGCTGGCCTCAACTGCAGCTTTTTGCGGGTCAGCACCAGCTGGAATGTCACCAACATGATTGGAATTCATGCTTGCCTCAAGTGCAGATTTTTGCGGATCAACACCAACCGGTTTAGGTGGCTTGCTTGTCTCAACTGCAGATTTTTGAATTTTACAAAATGAATCAGTGTGACCAATGCAATGACATAATGAGCAAAATTCAGGTAGCCTATCAAAGTCTAATTGAACATAGAAAGCAAAGCCTTCCCTCTCAACTAGTAAGTGGTCCGGAATTGGATCAGCAAGATTGATTTCAACTAGAACTCGTCCAAAATGACCATAATCTCTATTAACCGTGGCTTGATCAAGAGCAATAGGAGTGCCTACCCCCGAAGCAATAGCAAGAATGATTTTAGCACACCAATATTCCTGAGGCAAATCATGTATGTGCAGCCAAACTTGTGCAAGGGAGTTCTTGAACTTTCTTGGAGTGAAATCCGGTTTCCAAAGAGATAGTCTAAGAAATCCGGGCTCCAAGTTCCATAGGCCAGCTGCAAGAACTGTGCCAAGATCCTATGTTAAAATTCAAATTCAAAAAAACCTCTTCCAAGAGGTATGACTTTCCAGCCAGCAACATGAGTGGCAGCGAAAGAATCTCCCTTCTTAATAGGCTTTGGGAGGGAGAAGGTGCAAGAAGTAGACAAGGTGTTGGACACCACATTAGCAAACGACGGTCTTGATGGGGTCTTAAGAGGAATTGATGAAGATAGGTTGGCCACACAAGGCCAAGGACATACGTTGGCATGGAAGATATTATGCTAATTAAGTAGAGACAAATTACTAAGTAACGTTAAATTTTTACAATCAACAAATCTCAAATTTAAATATGATAAAGATTTCATATTTTTTAAAAATAGAAAGGCAAAATATGTCTATTTTACCAAAATTATGTATTTACAAAAAATAAAGAGGCTAAAAGATCAATTTAGTCAATAAATTCATCTCATTTGGTTACATATTAAAGAGTAATTTTAGAACATTACGTTAACACATGTTTTTATTTTAATGAAAAATTAGGAGTCATCTATTAAAATTAATTCATATTAAGTAAATTTTAAATACCAAAAATTCAGACGAAAAGAAATTATAAAGTATTTGGCAAATACTATGTATATTACTTTATGTCACTATTTCTTTTATGAAAATGTTATCATTTGTCGCGTAAATAAAATACATTATCTTGTTTATCAAAATAAATTATTTAATTTCTTAAAATTCGTGAATTTGTTATAGAATTGTTTCTGAAATTTATTATTTTATATTTATATGACATTTAGTAATATGTTAGCTTTGGAATTCCATGATAGGTGTATTTCTTTTACTAATCATTTCGTAGGCTGGCTTGTGCATCGCGTTGGTCTATACTTAAAATTTTAGGTAGAAAAATATGCATGCAGAGCAGGCCAGAGATTTGTGCATCAGATATTATGGTGTTTATGTTAATAAATCAGAAAAGAAAAAAGTAACGAAGGAGCAAAACTAAACTCTATGAAGTTCTACTCCCCTAATTGAAGGATAATTGGGACATACGAGGAGATGTTCATCGTATGAAGAAGAGCCATATTTAACAATCCACTCCGCACAAAAATTGACCTCTGAAGATATATTAACCGTTAAGATTAAATATGAAACAACTAACCAAAAAGACGGTCTTAACGTTACAGGCAAGAGTTTGTTTTGTCTTATTTTGTTTTTAATCTGAGATTAAAAACAACCTATGATAGCTGGATAGTTGAATGTCTTAAACATATCGATATGAATTAAAATCCGTAATTACTTCTGAAAAAAAAAATATTGTCTAGATAAAACTCACTTTAGTAATTAATTTTCATCTTAAAAAGTCTCCAACTAAAAAAAATATAAATAAATAATAAAGCTTTGAATACAAAACACATTTGTTTTCTCCTATTATTTTATGAATAATTCTAAAGCATAATCATTTTTCTACTTTGTATAAGTATTGAATACCCTTACATTTTTAAAGTATTAAAATATTTATAAAAAGATAAATTACTTTTTATTTTTATAAACAGGCTTACTGTTTTTTTATAAAAATAATACTTTGGACTTTTAAAATATAAAGTCCAAATTCCCAATAATTATCAAAAGGCTCTATTTAAAGCATCAATGTATCCCTAATAAAATATAAGGCATCTTAAAAATTAGTTGAAGATTAGCATTATACGAATAAACCTATAAAAGTGATAAAAAGAAAAAAGAAAAAAAGGCTCCATCTAATTATAATTAAAAACACTGGTTGATGGCTTAGCAACATTAACTCCAAATTCACTTTGTTAGGAAAACTTATTTCACGAGTGTCAGGGAGTATTTTACGCATGTCATCACAAAGACAAATATAGCAAGAACTCAGTTGAAAGCAGGCCAACATGGGATCAAGGTCAAAGCCCAGTTACCACAAACCCTCAAGTTGAATACGAAAATCACTAGACTAGCTTTCCTACATCAACTAAAATGTTTTTCACTATGATCCAAAACCATAAACATCAACATAATCACTGTTCATGCACAAACTAAACCTTCACTTAGCACTGTGCTTGGCCTTATTATGCGAATTTAAGGCATCATCTGTCTTAAATGACCTGCAAAGCAATATAAAAATTATGCGTGAATTTATGTGCCTGATTACTTGCAAAAAAGAAAAGAAAAAGGAAATATAAAAAGACAACTTCAATCACCTGTTGCAAGACTTGCAGGTGTAATCTCCACCTGACCTTGGAGTCTGCTTGTTATTAACAGTTGCTTTACCAGCCTGCTTAGAAGGGTGAGGAGTTGCAACATGGACAACACTTTTGCCATCTGAATGAACAGATTATTAATTCTCATCAATATCGTTTCAGTTTTACTGTGGTTACAACATGCATGCACAGACAAAAAATGAATCAAACATGGTTAAAACTAGCAGTCTAACTTATGTAAACTCACAAGCTAACCTACCCTGTCCTAAAATTCAACTTTTATTAGAAGAATAAAAAGGCAATGTAGATTAGACTCTAGACTAATTCATAGAGGCTCTCATACCACGTCATGAACTAACTATTCTAAAAGCTTATACTGTTAGGTCAAGGCACATTAATAATTTATATTATATCTCCCACACAAACATCAAACGTTCATTCTAGTTGTCACCCTTCAACATTTCCTTTTCTCTAATTCCTCTTTACAGTGTGAAACTCTTACTTCATGATAGCTCAAGACCCTTAGCTGTGCACAATAATTTCCAATAATTTCAACCATCAGCTTGAAACCTTTTGTTCCTCTTCATAGAGGGAAACTCGTACTTCATGATAGCTTGAGATTTTAGGTGTGCACAATCATTTCCAATTATTTTAACCATCAGCTCAAAACTTTTTGAATGCACAATATTGAAAGATATTCCATTTACATAAAAATATCAAGCTACAGACTGAACATCTCGAGCTATTGCTTCTTTATCACAAGCATAATTTATGCTTGTTTGCCACTTCACCTTTTCTAATTACATAGTTGCTTTTGATATCTACAAAATAAATCCATGTCTTTACTTGAATTTCTTGGCAAGAGCAGAAGGAGCAACTCCCCTAATTACATTTGGTGCCTTTTTTTGGCCAAATAATGTCATTAACAATAACCTTTTCAACAGAAATCACCAATCACAACTTTGCAAATTAAATAAACAGATAGCTCAAAGAAGAGAAAAACAGTCGAGGGAGTTGCTGCAAAGATTAGAAATGGGTTGGACCAGAATGCTAATGGGTTACTGGTAAATGGCAAGGCTTAGCCAGAAAATGATTTTGGGAGAAGGTTTCCAACTCTAAAACACAAGGAGGAGGCAAATAATTTAGGTCAAAGGGGTGTGCTTAACCAATTTCCAAGATTCAAACTTGAGGGGCAAGCAAATGATTTTGGGAGAAGGTTTCCAACTCTAAAACACATTTGACCATAAATTATGAAATCACAAAATTACCTTAAACAACTAGTGGAACTCATCATATAAAAAAAGGGTAACGGGGATTTCCCCCTGATTAAAATAGTGACTGCGAATACATAGCAGCCATTGTTTACAATGATAACTACGAATGAGATCTGCTACAAGAAAATGTGATGCGATGAGTAATGCATAATGGTGAGATCAAGCAACAAGCCATGATATCTTGATAACAGCACAAAATACTGCTATTAACTACTCTAAGACCTCACATCTAAATTACATTATTCACATCTTAATGTATCCAATTTAGCTTGGGGAGACCAAAGCAACAAGTCATGACGACTTGAATACAATGTTTTAAATCCCAGATAGCAGAGCATAGAATGCAGTCCCAAATACACTAAAGCGGGATAGCATAGCAGGATGGCCATTATTATGATTTTTTTAATATATATATATATTATTTCTGATTATGTTAATTCTATTTAATTATTAATTTTTTCTATATATTAACCCTTATAAATTAAACACAAACTTCTACAAGAGTTTTTAAGGATCTTTTCTACAAGAGTTTTTAAAGATTTTTTAACTTCTTATCTAATTTTAATTTGGTTTTTATTTATCATAATTATTTATGAATTAAATTTTAATACTTTAAAATAAATTATCAATAAATAAAAAATAATATTATGCTATAATATAAATTATTTATCATAAATATAAAATGTAATTAATATGTTTAAAATATTAATTTATACAATTTTTAAATAGGATTTATATATTCAACTTAATGTGTATTTATATATATAGTTTGTTATAAATTTTAGTTATATATAATAAATATTTAGTTTGTGCATTGCATAGGCTAAAATATTAGTTTATTATTATATTTGTATATTTCTCTGTATTATATAATATGTATTATATAATTATGTAATAATGCTTTCTATATTTTTACTATATTCTTAAATATTAGAGTATCTTATAGTTTTACAAAAGTTTAGTATATGATTAATAATAAAAAATAAAAATAACACTTTACCGGTTTACCCAATTACAGGACTGTTTTGGGTTAGAAGGGCAAATTTGAGGTGAAAGCCCAGAATCCATTCTGACTCTAGAAACATAAAAACCCAGCCTCTTTCTCCCATCAGCCATTCAGCCGCAGTATCCTCACAAAATTCAACCATCTTCTCTTCTCCCAAAAGCAGACACAGGTCTGGTATTTCTGCAACCCTTGACGCATGCACATTTGCAGAACTTTTTTTTGGGAAAAACAACTGCAGAACAGTCGCATGCCACCAAAGATGGCCACACGCACACTGCCAGAGACAGTTGGAAGAGATGGGAGGGATGTGTCAAAGAAAAGCATCAAATGAGAGAGATAGGCGACGTGTTTTTTTGGAAAAACAGAATAGTTGCACTATCCCATTCGCTACGGCCAGAACACTGAACCACTCTGCCACAGCGCCAAAGCACATTATTCTCAACCTTATACTTGATAACAGCATGAAAAGCTGCTATTAACTACCCTAAAAACTCACATCTAAATTACATTATTCACTACTTATGGTATCCAATTTAGCACACCCAAAATGAGTTATAAAACAAATAAGACTTGGAGTGAAAAACAAAATACGTGATTTACAAATACAAATCTCACACAACACAAGAAAGAGTTTGGAAGAAAACAAAACTAACCAGTCTTCTGAGGAGTAACGAATTTTGTCTTCTTCACAGGAACAGGTGTTTTCTTAGAAGAGTCAATAACCCTCTTATTGCTTGCTTCAATCTATATGAGAAAAGAAAGAGAATGTTAAATTCAAAAACCAACAACATAAATATAGTACCATATAGTCCCTCCTTACCTTCTTGGGTGTCTTCTCATAATCAGATTCATCATCATCATCCTCCTCCTCATCGCTATCATCATCACCTTCACTACTTTCTATGTCACCATTCACTGTGAGCTAAACAATATATAATTACAGAAAAACTAATCAATTAAAAAAACTAAAACATTTAAAACCTCCTCCAATTCAAAATTCACTAGTCACTAGTCAGAATAACAAGCTAACACCAGATTAATAATATAAATAAGAAACACAATGCCCCTGATATGATTACTCATAATCAAACATGTAGAATAGAAAACATATTTCAAAATCTTACTTGGATCGCACAGTGGACAACTCTTATCATTAGTGGCCAGAAGAATAATGAGTAAATGATTACGAGGACAAATTGGACAACCAATAAAAAAAACTGAACTACAATAATCATCAACAAATTCACAAGCTGATATTTAATAACATAAAAGATATTCATAATTAACACAAGAAAATCAAAATAGATGAGTAAAAATACACGTGAAAACAAATTCCCCTTGAAGTCAGAATATACCCATCAAAATGCTTCATCTACATTTATAAGTGTTTATCACAGTAAGAATCATCAAAGAAATGCTTTACTGCCAAGCAATCAAGTTTCTCTCATACCTAGCAATGACATTGCCATGCATTTTTGTTAAAAACATCTATACACTTATTATTCTGTCCTTTTCTGGTCAATCAATAGTATTTTGGAATTGAATTTTTCAAAGAATATCATTTCATTAACAGCAGCCTAAAAATTCAATACCATCAAACAAACCATGCAAGAGTCAAGACCATCAACAGTCCATTATAAAAGCCACTTTCTAGTTTATACATATACCTTGTCTTCACTTGAATCCTCATCAGAATCAGCTTCAGATGAATCTTCATCTTCATCTTCGTCGCTTGCATCCTTTTCCATAGCCTTCTCATCCTTTCTTGGATCTGCTTTCTTCTCCTTCTGTTTAGCTTCATTTGCATTAGATTTGACACCATTCTTTACCTCAAACTCAGGTTTCCCTATATAAATGTTCACAATATACACTATATAAACTGCTTTCTGACATTATAACAATATAAGATGGACATATTTACCATTGGCAGCACTGACTGGAATATCTTCATCAAAATCTGAAAGGAAGATAATAGACAAAGTTCAGATGCAAATAAGTCGCATAATAATAATAATAATAATAATAATATATAAATAAATAAAGTCAAGAAGAGTATCTCACCATCAGAATCTTCATCATTATCAGTAAAGATAAAAGAAGAATGAAGTTAAGGACATGTATTATGCATATCCGTGAGAACATTATAGAATGCATTAGTGACTATCAAGAGAAACTATGTTTTCATAACAAACAAAAACAGTATTGAAAAGGATATGACTCCAAGTGAGACTCAGCTTTAAATCCAGTAAAGAAGACACTTCCATTTTTCCAGTTATGGGATAGCTCAAATTCCTTCTCAAATACCAGATCATAAGATATTTGAGGAAATTTATCAGAAGAAAGCGTTCCAAGTACAAGCTTCTGGTTACCAAACTTCACATACAGGGCTACAGGTTCACCTCCTTTATCCTTAGTCACATCCCCCAGGCATGCCTGCCACATGATAATTTAATCATTAAAACAAAACCATCACCAATTCCAAGTAAGAAGAATGACTCGATGTTTACAAGTCATCATATAAGGATATACATTTGAAAGGTGAACAATCTTATCATCTCCTGGGTCAACCTTGAGAGATTCTCCACTTTTCACCTCAACACCTAAAAAGGATTGTAAATAAACAAGATGTTAATTTAATAAGCCTCGTTAGATTATCAACATTTTTGTCCTCATGAATGTAACATCAAATAAAAAAAATTCCGCAAATTTGGTATCATAAGCTGCGTCTCTATCACAAAAAGATGATTACTTATCTTCATTCCACATCCCCAACCCAAGATGTCTTTCAACAGGATAAAAAACACAAATAGAGAAACAAATCTAGTTATTTTTTGCAACTGTAAATAGTTGTCATTGCACAGGACCCACCTTTACAAACTAAACATTAAATTTTAGTATAAAATAACATACTAAATTTTATTTACAACAGAAACTTAGGGGTCAAATACTTCAAGACATTTTCAAACAGAGTTATCCTTTGTGAATGTATTGTAATGAGCAGTTATCAAACTGACTCTGGGTTGCTAACTCTAGTTTTCTTTTTTACTGTGTGGTTATAATAATTTTCTATGCACTATCATTTTTCTGGTAATGTTCACAGGGATGCCTATGATGATTGCCATCAAGTTTTCATAAAAGACCTCCTCTGAATGTATGAATAGGGGGTAACCTATACATAGATTGGCTGACAAGGAAAAGATACAATAAAATGGTATAATATTAACTGATAGACGCTAATTTAAAAAATAGATTCTAACAGATAATTTAGCTTATATAGAGCTCAATCCAAATTAAATATAGTGAAAAAATTAAAAGAAGTTTATTTTATTTTTGTCTTTGCTTATTCTTTTTTATCATTGACTTTTTTCTTTGCAATTTAATATACTTGGTACAATCATAAGCCAATTTGTTTATTTTCTTGTACTTGATTTTTTAACTGAATGATTAAGAAAAGAGGACAGAAATGCATGTAGCTTTAAACCAATTATAGTCCTGTACAAAGATGTTTCACTTAGAATATATTGAAGAAGACCTTTTGCTCTTGAAACATGTCTGTAGAATTTCAAAATTGTAAATATTTAAGAATAAATTAACTATGCAAACATTACACATATTGTGTCTGTGACTTTGTGTGTCGGGAGAAAAGAGATAAAAATGTGCACTTCTCTTTCATTGGAAAAGTTAGAAAGAAGAGATTAAATTGAGCTGCTATGAACTACCTTGGTTGAGAGATAATGAGGCTTAGAAGGAGAGAAACTGAAAAATAAGGATGAATATAATTATGGATGTTAGTGTGATCAATATATGGATGTATATATAGTGAAGGGAAGAAGGGAAAGTGGGGCAGGAAAGAGCAGCAAGTTTTGAAGAAACCGGCTTGAGTTATGAACTGGATGACTAATTCCATTCCGTTCCAATTTTATTAATACCGTTGACAAAAGTTCAGTCAGACAACGGGGATGACAGACACAGAACCATCCTTCATAAAGTGTCCCTTTCTTCTCTAGCACCTACTTCCTCTCTCTTTGTGTTTTTCTTCTTAGTATTATTATTATTTTGATTTTTTTCATTATATATTATAAAATTAGAAAATGTTAATTTAAATGTCTTAGTTCAGTACAGAACTGGATGAGTTTAATTTCTTAAGTTAATGTGAGAATCTTATTTATACATAATTTCTAACTATCTTTATAAGTACTATTTAAGTCTCAATACTATTTTAATAAATTTAAAGATTTAATTCGCTTAAACTTTATATATATATATATATATGTGTGACTTTTTTCATGCATATTATTAATTTAGGTAATGATATTAGTACATTTTTTTTAGTGTATTTTTTATTTATTTATTATAATCAAATTTGGTGTAAGAATTTTATAATAACTTACGCAATATGTTAACCCAATTAAGTTAGACAACATCATTACATATATTCTAGTGTATAATGTAGGAAGTAATTAGAGAAAGATAAATAAGAAAATTGTATTCCCCACCAATATTTTATAATACTGTTAAATTTATCATTCAACTTTTAAATTCCACATTTTATCACCAAAATTTTAATATTTCATATATTATTATCCTGTAAGATCATATTTAATATTATTAATTGATCATTAATATAACATATTTATTATTAACGTTATATTTTAACCGTTGATATAAATTATTACATGACCTATAAATGATGAAATGATATAATGTATTATGTCAAATAATTAAAGTAAAACTTTAATAATCAATTAATAATGTAAAACAATCAATTAATAAAATAATAAATATACAAAATAATAAGTTTGAAAATAAAATATACAAATTTGAGAGTGGAATAACAATACTCACAAAAGTGTGAATTTTGGTAGAAAATAAAAAAGAGATATTGAGCTTAAAAATAAAGTAAAATGAGAGGGAAAAAAATAAAAATAAAATACTTTTGTTGTTATAATTATTATTCTATTAATATATTACAGCCTTTGCCCTTTTCTTTCATCCAGTTTGGCTAAAGCCAGTTAAGTATAGCAGCCTTCATTATCACGCCTTTTGTCATAACAATAACTTCCTTAATTAGTATTTGAATTCAATGTCGTTCTTCTTCTAGTAATTCATTTTTGATGGCTGTGGTATATGCCCATGTCTGCTATAATTAATAATTGAAAATCTAAATCTTTATTTCGTACGTGAATTTACTTTCCACGTCATGTTTCGTAGCTTAATTAGGCAGCTTTTATTAGCACGCCAGCAGATCGCTGTTAATATCTTTTGCTATTAATGGGGTAAGTATTGCATTGTTAGTACTCTATCTATTTTTATTTGAATTTGAATCATGATTTTGACTATAATCCTCTTTAAGTTATACATATCTTCTAATTAATAATGATCACAATCTTCCCCTGGTTAATGGTTATTAACTTTACCCATTCTTGTGTCTGCTGAGTGTTTCTCCATTGTGATATTATTATTTTGCTAAAAGGCTTGCACACGTTTTAAATTACAGTCAATTTGTAGTGCCTTAGCTAGGTCTGCTTCCAGAAGCTTTGATAATTAATTGTTTAATGGCTATTTTCAAGAATTAATCCCGGTTCAATAAATTTTCAATCCATTGATGAGTTGAGTTCTTTAAATTTAACCCACTAAAAATGGTGAGTTTATCAAATTAACTTAATGGGTTTAACTCGCTTTCTCGTATCCTTAAAAATAGAAAATGATTTTTCAAATCAAACTACTCTTTGTTTCATTAAAAAAAAATGTTATTATTTATGTTTGTTACACTTTATCAAGTATAGTATAAAGATTGTGTTTGATCAATTGATCGTATTGAAAAACTATACATACGCATTAAGATAGGAAAAAATATAGAAGGTTTTTTTTTTTTTTTTTT